TGCTTCATCCATTTTGGACAAGGCCTCATTTGAAAAATATAACACTTCTCAGATTTCAAATAAACCTGTTGTTCCCTATTCTCACCCCCAGAAGTAAATAAACTGTTTCCATTACATATAGAGTCTATTTCTGGTGGGACTTCAACATTCCAGAGAACATATTATAGCAATTAAATATTATCATGTAAGCTGACAGCTTCATGCTGGGTTTCAGTTTGGTGTAGCCCAATAAAGTTGATTCCATGCCATCCAGTTCTACGTCCACTTTCCTTTAAACATCCATATGCTTGTACACATGTGTGCACATACATAGTAGCAAACTTCAATGCAATATGTAAAACCCAGATACCTTTTGGCTGTTTATCGAACAGTTGTAAATCTCTGTCCTGGCAGCACTCAGAAAGCATTGTCCAAGCTACTGTGCATATGCCAAATTTGCAGGTCCTTACGGCATTACTTAGTGTTGCACATGTTCATAGTACAAAAGCAGAGTCGATCGGTCATGAAGCACGAAACAGGAAACAGATCGATCACCTTCACAATTTTGCCTACCTTCTTCTTCTTCTTCTTGGAACTCAGGCCACCATTTGGAAAGGCAGTGAATGGTGGTGGAAATATACAGGCAGGTGCTGTTATTTACCAAGCATCAGGCTACACCTATTGCTTGAATAAATCTGAACGGCATCTTAAAGCAAAGGAGACACTGCTGCAGTAACATTGACAGAAGACCTAGCTATTAAGCTGTCTACAGAGTCTAGTATCAGTGAAATGTTTGACAGCCGCAGGGACAAATATGTATTAGCAACATTGCTTAATCCATGTTTCAAGGGCAGAATTGAAACCAGGCTTTCACCCTATGCAAGCACCGATTGCTGGAAGGATACTGTCATAAATAATAGTGCTGGAGGCCATACCATTATGCACTTCCTTTTCTCCCTCATCCTTCCACTTTGGTCCCCTAGGCCAAGTATATCTCATAAAGCAGGAGATGCACAAGTTTCTGAAACACCACAGTGTGCAAAAGTAGTAATCACAGCAATGCCCATAGTTCTGGAGTCTTATGTTATCAGCTCAGAGTGGGGTAGTACCATCTAGGAAAACTCATTTTGTCTGTATCATTGAAAGAATCTATCCATTATGAAAGGTCTATAGGTGTCATGGGAGATCCTTTCATATAGTAGGAATGGAAAAGTTGACTTCTGAAGGCCAGCAATGGCAAAAGGGGGTGGGAGAGAAAGAAAGGAAAGAATAAATACTGTTCTGAAAAAGTCACCATCCATTATGGGACTCAGATTTCATTTGCAGCTCTCCTGGAGGCAATTTGTCTAACTAGAAAAGTGGGCTTTAAAAAAATAAAATAAAGGTGGCCTTACTTTGTTAAAAAGAGCTATCAGGAAAGTTCTGTAAGTTATAAATGCGGGAGGCTCTTGAGTTGAGAGTGAGACTAAAGGCTGCTTCTCACAAGAAATCTGATGTGCCTCTTGAAAGTAGCCAAGCCATGCTGTCAGCCACTGGTGTCTGCTGGCTCATCACATGCATCCCAGAAACATCCCTGTGCAAGCTATAGCCAAAACTGTTTGCTGACTACATGGAGACAAACCAAATGGTGGAAGGACAACCCACACAAAATGGTAGCAGGACCCAAAACAGGACACACATTTCCACCAGAAGCATTCAGATCAGTCACATTTCTAACGCTTGCCAGCTGAATTTGGAAAAAGCCAGTTTGGGCATAATGTGCCATGTTAAGAATATTCACTGTTTGTTTTAAAAATGTGTTGTGAGAGAAAACAGCACAAGTAGCATAGGTATCTTATGTCCCAGCCTCTCATTCTCTCTCAGTAACTATGGTGCTCCCCTCTCTTTGCCCTGTGCTAATCTATACTGTAGATAATGTATACAGTCGTATCTTGGTTGTTGAACGCCTTGATACTCGCACGTTTTGGCTCCCGAATGCCGCAAACCCGGAAGTGAGTGTTCCTGTTTGTGAACGTTTTTCGGAAGCCGAACATCTGACGTGGCTTCCAGTTTAGTGCAGGAAGCTCCTGCAGACAATCAGAAGCCACACCTTGGTTTTCAAACCATTTCAGGAGTTGAATGGACTCCCAGGACAAATTAAGTTCAACAACCAAGGTACAACTGTACTCAGGCTACTATCCTATACATTCTGAAGTTTCATTATGACTCAATAGGACTTACTTCTGTGTAGACGTTCATAGGAATGTGTTGTCAGTAGCAGAAATGGTCATCTCAAGTGTAAGAATGGGAAACAGCACAGATTCCCTGTGTTTTGTCTTCCTCTTCCTTTGTAACACAAAGTGAGGGGAGGAGACAGAGACAGAACATGGCACCATATTTCTCCCTGTATAAGGATGCCTTTATTTCATATTCAGACACTGGGCAAGGTGGTACACTCGTCTTTCTAGAGTTCACTCATTGTTCCTCTAAGGTTATCCCATGAGCAAATGAACGCCCATCCAATTTCATAAGGGACATCCGTCTTTGGGAGGCTCTTCTATTGTACTGCAGTCTCTGGGGAGGGATAAGCTGGCAAACCCTTTCAGAGCTTCACCAACTGGCACTGGCTACTGGGCCTGGCACAATTCTGGCAAAACCCCTCCAATGCAAGGGCCCAGAGCATCATAGGAAGTCTTTGCCCAGCAGTGGGCTGGAAGAGGCTGATAATGAATGACTGATGATGATTATATGAAAGTTCTCAAAACATTTATGCAAAGGGATGAATAGGAGCGAAGTCAGCACCACATAGGGAGAGCTTTGGACAGCCATGTGGAAGGCAGATCTGACAGCAGACCTACAGTTGTTCGTTCCCCATCTCTAGGCAAGCAGAGAGATGTAGCACCTGGAAATGCGAGCGCCCAGCTAACAATGGCACTTTGTAGTAAACAATTCGTGGTGCCAGTTAAGTCGCTAGTGGCATATGCCTCCGTGATAACAGTAACAATATTACATTGCAAATGATATACAGGGGGGAAATATGGTAAAAAGATAGTTTGATAATTAATTCTTCATCAGTTAGAAGGTAGTGGGTGGTGTAACAGGTGAAACGAGAGTGTGGAGCTTTCTAGATGGTTCCTATAAAACTTGTACTATGGAAAGCACAGGGTAGTTTAGTTTGAAGAAACCAGTGGCAATTAGTATTTATATAACACTTATCTAATTGCTCAGAGCAGTTCACACCTGCTATCATAGTAACTAGGCTAGGCTAACAATGAGGCATGTCTAAGGAGGCACAGATTTTACAAGCCACCCATACAATTCCTAACAAATACCATATAAGTAACTGTGTGCCCATTGCTCCTCCAGCGCAGCTAAAAAGACAAGTTCAGAAGCATCTGTTTTTGACCAGCCGCAACTCACTGTGACATTCAAATCTAGATACAATATGATTACACTTAACTATTACTAGTGAGGAAAAGCCTATCTGAATCCACAGTTTATGAGACTGATTTGTTTTCATTAACCATAGTGAATACTAGCCACAGTTTATGGTTGAAATATAATGCTAAAGTAAATACTAAATGCTAATCTAAAATGGATGTCAACGCTTCCAGTCTCCTCTCTGTGGCTGTGCTGAGGGAGGGAGGAGGAGGGAGACCATGGGCCCAAGACTGACTGAAACTCATCCATGTAATGCTAAACCATGGTTTGGTGTTGAATGTGTATCGATCCGAGGTTTCGTGTCTGAGATAAAGAAGTGCTTTTTTCCAGTTGCAAATTTCTCTTCACATTAAGCCCTCTCTCTTGTGTCCTGCCTTTTGTTTATAATTAACTCATCCCTCTTAGACTTCCAGTCAATTCCAGTTTCACCCTTAAGGACAAGAGATGTTTCCGAACACACTATATGAATAAAATCCTTCATCCACCCATTTCAGCTGCTACTACTGCTAGTCAGGCTGCACCATCAAGGAGAATCAGCCTGCCAGTCAAACAAATGCTACCCTCTTGAGTCCCCCAAAGAGCCATATAATCCTTTCCTAACTGTTGTTTAGGGCTGTCCTATTAATGGCTCCAGACCCCATGCATGTAGTTGGAATATACATTTCCTACGTTTCCCCCCTTCATATTTTTATTGGTGATGTTTTATTAGTCGCGTTGCTCCTCAGCTTCTCAGCAGCATCGGCAGGCAGCGATACCATTAGCTTTAGATGAAGGTGTGCATCCTCTCCCTTCATAGCTGCGGCGAAGTACCACAATAAAAGCAATATCGATAAACAGTGCAGCGGAGGAACAAATTAATAAGCAGTTTCATGGTGAATTACTGACCACCAGTGGTGGCTGCTGAATAGGGAAGCTTGAGAAAGCCATTTCTTGTTCTCTGTGCTAAGTAGAGGCATGCGTAGCCATGGAAGAAGTGAACAGGACGGGACTAAATGGTTTTGGGATGGTGAGCTGTTGTGCCTCAAAAGGGGATTCGGCCATTCAGCAGCTTCATGGAGCAAATGCAACACAACCCACAGCAGCTAAAGCAGCAGCCAGGGAGTACACAGCAGTGTTTTTTGGCGACTGGGCTAAAGGGCATCAAGCAATATCACACATGCAAAGCAAATAAATGCTGGACATATTTAAATGGTAAATGAGAATGAAGGGCCATGGCTATGGTAAAGCACATGGTTTGCATACAGAAGGTCACAGGTTCAATCCCCCTTCAGATCTGAAACAGGAGATTTGCTGCCAGTCAGACTAGTCAGTATGGAGCTAGATGGACAAATGGTCTAATGAGGCAGCTTCCTATGTTTCTAAGTAGCTGATGATTTTCTATCAAGAGTGTATTGTCCAAAATACCTTGTAGTACCATTATGCCATGTTTCATCTAGGGATGAGGGTTAGAGTCCAGTGAGTTTTGATTCTGAAGCAGACACACATGGTCTGATCTGCCTGTACCAAAGTGGGGGGTCTGGGCAGCGTAGAATCATAGAACTGTAGAACTGGAAAGGACCACAGGGATCATCTAGTCCAAGTCCCTGCAATGCAGGAATATTTTACCCAGCATGGGCTCAAACCCACGGCTCTGAGAATACGAGTCTCCTGCTCTACCGACTGAGCTATCCCAGTATGGTTAACTACCATGATGCTCCAGAACCTGTGCATTGCCAATTCCTATTCTCTCATAGGAATACATGGTGAATGCAAGGTGGTCTGTGGGCTGCCTATTTTCTTTATAATGGTATTTCAGCTGCTTAAGAGCAGCTAGCTGGTGTGCAGGGCTCCTGCCCCTGCGTGTACAGAAGTCAAGGAAGCAAGCCCCACTGGGAGCAGTGGACTTTGATGTTGCACCATCACTCTCAGGGGGCAATTTCATGTACATGTCATGTACAAGCACACTTTAAGGGCAAAGTCATATGCAAAGTACATCAAATATAAAAATACATTAAATTTCCCCTGAGTGCAACGGCATGTAATCAAGACCCATCAAGACTTGCTGTGTTACCATCAACATGCAGGGTGGCAACAGCTTTTAGGCAGCAGAAATTTATTTTTTCCAGACAACAAAAGGAGACAGGCAGGTAGCCCTCAGACTACCTCATAAGCACTTACAACTAATTCCTTACAACTAAGAGCTTTGTGGGTTTCCCCTCCTTCTATGCAGATTTTTAAGGATAGAGAAAGATTTGCTCTTAAAAGCCCACATGGATTTTATCCCTGAACCCATGCCCAGTTCTATCCCAGATACTCACAGATCTTCAGAATATCCGGCAATATTATAAAACAGAAAGCTACTATTTTGCTACATTTGCCGGTTAGGTCATTTTAAATAAATGTATTGGGTACACAATGAAGTTTCTAATTATTTTATTACAGTATCCATGTATTTGGAGGAGGTAGTAATGGTGAGAATCATATTTCTGTCTAGTCATAAAGAAAGCACTTGATTCCCACCAGAACTTTACCAAAGGAAATATTAGAGACAAAACATCTCCTTTGAAACATCCCAACCAGATGGCAGTTCCAATGTTTTATGGCCAGTCTGTTTATTAATGAACATCTGTTTTTGCTACAGAACACAGAGTGGACATTTTATCAAAAGGCTTCCTTTCCAGTTTTCAGACAAAAAAAAAACCACCCTAGGCAATTTATTATTATTCAGAAATCTACTAAATTTGTGCTTGATTTCAGCAAATGCACATTAATTGTCTTCTCTACCCTGTTGCTTGTTTACTCAGAAGTTCTTCTTTGTTTAAAGTGTGCAAGCCTTGCTAATATAGGAAGTGTGTAGCAGGAGTTTGAGATCCAGTGCATAAAAATGGTCAGGGTTTCTGCATAACTCATAGGTTACAGTGCTCAAATCGTGTACTCTCAAAACCTTCCACTGCAAATAAACATAAATGTGTTGAAGTAAATAATTTAAAATTTCTTATCACATGTTTACTCATTAAACAGTCTAAAAATTAATTGCTGAGATTTTTTCACTCAGATGCAGATTAAAAGAAATGTGCCAATGACACATGTATTGGCAATGCACAGTCTATGCTTGAGGAACAAAATGCAGAACAATGCAATGTTTGTTCAAAGCTGCCATAGCAGGATCACACGTAGTTTTCTGGAACATAAAACTCATACACACTTAGTTCATTTTAAGAACTGTCAAAAATTGGTAGTGCTCACTTCTGACTAAGCATGAACCAGGCTTTGTTTTGCTGAGAGAGTAATACATTAAAAAGGCACCTTGCAAACATTTTTGTCTCCAGGACGAGGAAAAATGGGTGAGGGAAGATAGATGTTCCATTGTACAAGGATTTTATTATCATTATTATTTTTGCATTGATAGAACCTTGATGGATATATTGAATACAGCCCTATATAAATACTTATTGATGATAATGATATTAGTAAAATTTGTCTACTTTTAGTTTCCTATGGAAAAACAATCAATTACATGAATAGGAAGTTTGAGGAGATGTCTTCATTATACAATGCTTTTTTAAAGAATATCTTACCTATCAATAAAGTCTGAGTGCTAATACCCCTTTTATTCACCCCAAATTCTGTCAGTGGAGTATCATTCAAATCTTAGACCACTAACAATCCTTTTTTCAGACAATATCTTTGGCTGCTATAGCTGGGCAAGCTGTGAGTTTCAGGCTTCTTCTGCAGCATCTAATAGCCTCCAGGATTAGAACATCATATAAATAATACATTTAATTGCCCTGGAAAGGCAAGAGCCCCACCCCCTCCCCCCAAATGTAAGCCAGGTGGAATAACTTTAATATCCATGGCTCCATTCTTGGGAGCGTATATTTTCTGCACAGAAAATGAAGCAAGGCCAAGTAGTTTAGAGCTCAAATGTAAGCGAGCGGCCTTCATCAAGTCGCCTTGGCTCAGGTTCATCAACATGATTACTTGCTTAGTCCGGCTCATTTTCCTACAAACATTAGCAGGTTTGCAGTTTTAAAATTGAACTAAGCTGTTTGCCAGCTGACCAATTTGGAAAATGCTCTACATGTTCAGTAACGCTTGTTTGTTAAACATAACTTTACTGGCACCTGCAGAATTGCTCCTAAAATGATTTGCAGCCGGTTTACACCAGGTCAGTGGCTGCAGCCTAACAGGTAGATGTGAAAAGCTGAGGAATGATTGCTAAACTTACTGAATCAAGTCATGGTCTTAGTCACTGATAAATCTCCGGACCCATTTAGGAGTTTTAAGAAATCACAAACCCTAGCAATCCATTTCTAGAGGGTAGGCTGCCTAGTCGTGTTGACTTTGGCACCTTAAAGGTGGGTTTTTAAAAAGTATTTAAGTACACCAACATAAAAACAGTCGCTGTGATGTTCACCATATTTGTGGTAAATTTATGAGTGCTGTGCCAAGAATTTCTCCCATTTCCCCCCAACCCTTTCCCCATTAATAAATGGGAAAAGAAACTGTATTTAGATTTTATTTTATGGAGATTTTTCTCTCTCCCCAGGAAAATCTCATGGCTGAGGCTTTAGTTGCACTTTTGGAGTGTCCGAGGGTGTTTGTGAACGTCCTTCTTTTCGTTCCACAAATCATCTCTCCAGAGTTCTGTACTCTGCAGCCTTCTGAAAAATCCTGTGACATCCTTGGCTGGGCTTCCCTCTAAGCACAGGAAGGTGGGCAGGCAGCCTGGTGTGTGCCTGACAGCTGTTCCTTGTCATTTTTATTTTTTTTAAGTGAAGTCTTTTTAGTTTTAAAGAAATGAGTGGGGAAAGGAGGTTTTTGTTTTGTTGTTTTAAGGTCAAAGAACTTGCCATTAAAAACAAAAGTGAATGCACCCATTTCAGGCACATTTTGCAGTCTCTTCAAGTGTTCCTATTTTCCAGGGACAGCCCCAGATTTACAGAAGCTGTCCCGATTTCTGATCTGATCCTGGAATTTCCCACTTCTCCTAAGGATGTCTCTATTTTCATCAGATAAATGTTAGAGGGTGTGGAGTTATGCGACCCCCAAGACAAAGAGATAAGTAACTATACAACCTTTCAAGGACACCTGAAGGCTGCCCTGTATAGGGAAGTTTTTAAATGTTTAATGTTTTATTATGTTTTTATGTATGTTCGAAGCCACCCAAAGTGGCTGCAACAACCCAGTCATATGGGTGTGGTTATAAATAAAATAATAATAATAATAATTGAATAAGATGTCCCTTTTTTATCAGACTAATATTGGAGGGTATGTTGTAGCTAGCTCCCCATCAGATATATTCAAATATGTATGTACAGTCGTACCTTGGTTATCGAAGGGAATCCATTCCAGAAGTCAGTTCGACTTCTGAAAACATTCGAAAACCAAGGAGCGGCTTCCAATTGGCTGCAGGAGCTTCCTGCACTCAATCGGAAGCTGTGGAAGCTGTGTCAGATGTTCCAAAAAGCGTTCGCAAACCGGAACACTCACTTCCGGGTTTGCGGCGTCTAGGAGCCAAAATGTTTGTGTCGCAAGGCGTTCCAGAACCAAGGTATGACTGTACTGGAATTCTAAAATATCCTGAGAATGTGGCAGAAGTCTGGAGGTCTCTTTCACAGGGGGATGAAACTTTGGAGAAATATAAGGACCAGTTTCAGCACAGCACCAGAATACTCTGGCCTTCCGCTGTTTCCTTTCCCACATACCCTGTGGTTACACCCCTCCCCAAAAAAGTGAGTGGGGACCAAGTATGGTGAAATCACAGGGTGAAATGCACCTTTACATAATGGAGAGAGAGAGAGAGAGAGAGAGAGAGAGAGAGAGAGAGAATGAATACCATATTTTTCTGTGTATTAGACGATATATTTTCCTTAGAATAGGCAAAAATTGTGGGTCATCTTATGCACGGATAGCAGAGGAGACGAGCGATTGGTGGCAGCAGGCAGCAGGAGATTGGCAGCGGCGATTGGGCATGTGATTGGTTGCTGCGGCAAGCCCTGCTGACTATTAGCTGCAGCTGAGGTAATTGGGTGGCTGTTTACTGCAGCGGCAAGGCATGCGTGCAATTGGCTGTGGTTGTGCCGAGTGTGCAGGCGGTCTTTTGGTGGCAAGCGTGCAGACAACTCTGGGCAATCCCCCCCCCCAAGCTGAACCCCCCCCCCATTATGTTGTGGTCCAAAAAAATAGGGGTCGTCTTATACATGGGGGGGATGTTATACATGGAAAAATACGGTATATAAAACACAAAGGGGGAGGTCTGGAAGAACAACGAGAAGTGTCTTTTACAGTAGGAAAATGAATTGTTACTAATTTGTTATAAACCACTTAATGCTGTAAGAGGCACTGAAATAAAAATTAAGGCTGTACACACCATACAATTAAAGCACATGGCATACCTGCAATAAACTTGGGAACTGTAGCCTACCAGAAATACAATTCTCAGCGCCTTGACAAATTACAGTTCCCAAGATTCTTTTGGGCAGTCTTGAGCTTTAAATGCATGGTACATACACAGCCGAAGAAAACAACATAGTCCCAGGTTCCTGGCATAATAGACAGAACACAAGAAAAGAAAAAGGGATGAGCTGGAAACAAGAACATATTTTCTAAGCTCTGGAACTAATCAATTAAAATTAATAAAGTACTACTACCACAAGTGAGCCTTCTGAGATCAGCTGTGGTTCTCAGCATATG